GGAGGAGGAGGAATAATAATAGTTATAGTAATTATAATGAATATATTAAAGTAGAACAATTACAGGATAATAGCAATAGTCATAGTAATATTAATAATAGTACTGATACGAATACTACGAATAAGACTAATAACCATAACCATAATACTGTTACTGCTAACGTTGCTAATACTAGTCATATTAGTAGTATTATTATTAGTAGTCGTCGTCGTCGTCTCGTCGCCGTCGTCGTAATTAGTGTAGCTGGTGTTGGTAAATGTAGTAAGTAGTAAGTAGTAAGTAGTAAGTAGTTAGTAGTAAGTAGTAGTAGTAGTAGTAGTAGTAGTAGTAGTAGTAGTAGTAGTAGTAGTAGTAGTAGTAGTAGTAGTAGTAGTAGTAGTAGTAATATTAATATTCACAATAATACTGGTAATACAAATACGAAAAGGGATACTTTAAACCTAAGAGTAATACACAATATTATAAACAATGATAATAATATGAATACTACTACTAAGAATAAAAGTAATGATACTAGTAATAGTACTAGGCACATTAATGATAATGCTTTAATACGAATAATACGGATGATAATGATAAAAAATATTCAGAATAGCGATACGACTAGCATTGCTGAGACTATCATTGTAACAGTAGTAATACGAATAACACTAATAATAGTAATACGCATAATAATACTGGCAATACGAATAACACTAATACGAGTAAGAATAATAATAAGAATAATAATAAGAAGAAGAAGAAGAAGAAGAGGAGGAGGAGGAGGATAATGTGATGAGGGGAAGCAAGAGGGAGGACGAGCGCTGAGTAGGTGGAGGGGTGAGGGGGAGAAGGAAGGGGGATGATGATGAGGAGGAGGAAGAGAAGGAATAGGAGGAGGAGGAGGAGGAGGAGGAGGAGGAGGAGTTGGAAGGAACGGGAGGGGCGACGATAAGGGCAGCGGCGGCGACGCTGGCGCGGGCTGTCAAGGTTGAAAGCCACCAGCGGCCCGAATGGAGCCAGCCTTGAACGATCTCAACTGTCGGAGAGTGGAGATCGCTCGGGGTTCATCGATCCGCGTGGTGTCGGAAGCCAGAGCCAGAGCCCACGTCGTCGCGGCAGAGCGGGCTGCCGAGGGAGGGAGAGGGCCCTTGCGAGGTGACAAGGATTGCATCCCTGATTTCTGCGGTGATTGCTACAGCCCCCTCCGAAGTATTTACATGAGGTAATGTACATGATTGTATTTTCTCTGCTTAGCCTGGCAAGGGGCAAGGGAGGATGAGGAGATGGAGGGAAGGAGGGGAGGAAGGAGGGATGGAGGAACGGGGGAGAGGAGGAGGAGGAGGAGGAGGAGGAGGACGAGGAGGAGGAGGAGGAGGAGGAGGAGGAGGAGGAGGAGGAGGAGGAGGAGAAGGAGACATTGCAGCAAGCTGTCGTTCAGCCCAAGATCTTGCACCTGGGACGTCCCTGGAGGTTCCCGGAGGCCTCTGGAGGCACCCAAAGGCCTAAGAGGCACCCGGAGGCCCCAGGGTGACCCGAAAGGCACGCAAAGGAGCATCCCAGCAACGCCCAGCATCTCCCTCCTCAATGCAGGACCCGGTCAGGTGGGAGGAGGGAAGGCCGAGGGAGGACGGAGGGCAGGAGGGGGACGGAGGGCGGGGAGGGAGGGGGAGGAGGAGGAGGAGGAGGAGGAGGAGGAGGAGGAGGAGGAGGAGGAGGAGGAGGAGGAGAGGAGGAGGAGGAGTGGAGGAGGAGGAGAAGGAGGAGGCGGAGGAGGAGGGCGACGAGGGAGGAGAAGGAGGAGGAGGGAGAAGGGCAGTGAGCGAGGAGGCCGGAGGTAGGCAGACGGAGGATGGACGACGGAGGGCTCGTGCATGCGATGTCTGCATGTTCTTTCAGTGCGCGGTCCCCGGAAGTCCCGACCCTGCTTGTCATCCCGGCTGTCTTCTGGAAGCCGCTGCCCCCCCAAAAGCGGGGGCCGAACACGGCCGAAAGCCTCCTGTTTCGGGGAGGCCAGAAGTGTGGAAGCCAAGGCTCAAAGCAGTGGTGACCGTACTGAGATCCCGCCCTGCCCGGCGGACAGAAACCACCCGGGCCCCAACCATGACGGGGGAGGGCATGAAGCGCGGAGATCGGCGGCGAGCTAACGGGGGGAAGTGAGAAGGGGAAGACCCTCTCAGAAGGCGGCGGGACCTCTCAGCAGTCCTCGCGCCCTCTGGGAAGCTGTTTCTGCCTCCGGGGGAGGCTCGGAAGACTCCTCCGAAGGCCGGGGGACTTCCGAGCCTTCGGAGAAGGCCCGCCCCTTCCCTGACCTTCCAGGGGGGCTAAAACATAGCACGCGACCTAAAAACCTATCCCAGAGCTATTCTGTGTCTTGGTTTTAGGCTGTTTCGTTCAGTTTTTTAGGTTTTTAGGCCTCCAGTTCTAAAACATAGCTCTCTGGAAGGTCAGGGTTCTCTCGGGCCGGACGAAAGGGGGGGATTGGGAAAGGGGGGGTACGAAAATTGCTGCATGCAGCTGGTTTCGGCCTCACCGAGGGGCCCATGCACTCCTCGATACACACAGTCGCCTCCGGCGCCGGGAGGCGCCGGGAAAATCAGCTACGTACGAGCTGATTCTCACCCCCCCCTTTGCTATCCCCCCCTTTCGCCCGACCCGATTCCCACCTCCCCCCCCGGGCGCGCCGCCCATCGAGAGGCCCCGGCAGGGCCGTGCGGGGGAGAGCCTCGCGGCCGGAGGCGGGGGGGACCCCCGACGCGGGCAGGCTGGCGCGGCGGAAGGCCCGCGCCTACGAGCGCTGGGCGGTGTCGTGCGGGCTCGCCGCCTCGTGCTCCGCGCGCGCGGAGGACGTGGTGCACTGCCCGCGAGACGGGTGCGCCGAGAAGACGCCCCAACAGACGTCGGGCGTTTCGAAAAAATCGAGACGGAGATGTTTTTAAAAATAGTTTTAGCCTCTCGGGGCCCTCGCCGGGCCTCGGGACCGTCAAAAAACGACTCGGGATGAAGAACCGGTCCCAGGGAAGTGGTCGGGAGGTCGGGGGCCCGCGTCTCGAACAAACCGAGACGTCGGATGTTTGGGTTTGCTTGTTTTGCCGATCGGCGCGGGCCCTCGCACCCCCAGTCCCCCCCCCCCCATGGAGTAGATCTTGGCTGTTTTCGGCGCCCGTTTCGAGCAGGTGGAGTCTCCCCCACAGGGCGCACTTGTGCAAGCAGTCGCACTGAGCAGAGGTCTGGAGCCCGACCCCCCGCCCTCCCCCTCCTCCTCCTCCTCCTCCTCCTCCTCCTCTCCTCCTCCTCCTCCTCCTCCTCCTCCTCCTCCTCCTCCTCCTCCTCCTCCTCCTCCTCCTCCTCCTCCTCCTCCTCCTCCTCCTCCCGCCCAATGCCGAAACGCCGAATCCGAAAACGTTCACAAAAGTTGGAGCCGTCTGGGGCATGAGGTGGCCCAGCACCCGTGCCGGCCAGCAGACAGGGCGGGCAGGTTCGAGGTTCTGGGCTCTCGGTGGTCGGGAAGGTGGTTTGCCTCGCTTTCGGCCTCCAAGGTGCCTTTTCCGGTCCCTGGGGCAGTGAAAAACGGAGTAGAAAGTTGCGTCAAATGGACCACCAGGGACTGGTCTTGAGCGGATTTGGCTTCGTCCCCCCCTCCTGACAGATTCTCTGGGGCCCCAGCCAGTTCAGACTGCCTGGCCGCCTCCAACCAACAACTTCTCTGGCGACTCGCCAGATCGAGAGTCGTCGTTCGCAGATGTCAGAGGGGCAAAAGGTGATTGTTGTGATTGGTTCGAAGATCTCCCAAATGTCCAAGATTTACTCAATGTTCTACTTCCACGCGAGCTGCAGAAACGAGGGCCGCTAGTTACTTTGGAAATCCTGGAGCTTATCCTGAGACGGATGCGCTGAGCAATCCGAGAAAAACTCCAGCGATTCCTCGAAACGGAAACCAGCGATCGCCATGAAGGAAACGAGCAGGTCCTGGGGCAAACGGGTCCTGGAGGTTCTGGTTCATTTTTGGCCTCTCGGCCCCCCCCCGGTCCCAGGACCGTCAGAATCGTCGTTCACCATGGAGGTAGAACCAGTTTTCTTTCTCCAGTGCGATGAGGGCCGTCACCTGGGGGTGGAGGGGGGGGCGATGACGTCACGTAATATCGCGCCAGCGGCGACTGGCAATGCCTAGGAACGGCCGAGGACGGGTAGCAGCAGCATGTAGGTGGCGATCTGCGCCACAGCGCTTGTGTACACCAAAGTGCCTGCGTGCACCACAGTGCCTGTGTACACCACAGGGCCCATGTACACCACAGCAGCCACGTGCAACATGGCGCCAGTGTGCACCACAGTGCCTGCGTTTACCACAGCGCTTGTGTTCACCGCAACCCTTGCGTACAGCACAGTAGCCGTGTGCAACACAGCACTAGTGCACACCACAGTGCCCGCGTGCACCACAGCGCCTGTGTACACCACGGCGCCTGTGGGCACCACAGCAACCGTGTGCAACAGAGCACCATTGTTGCATATAGAATTTTAGAAGGAGTTCTTGTGACAAAATAGGGCGACTGCGGATTCCACTAAAAACAATTGTTTGACATAGGATCTGGAATGGAGTCCTTATGGAAAAAGGAGCGCCGCTGGAATCTACGAGTCTTCCTGAGTCCTCCCGCATCATCCTGACTCCTCACATCTGCGTCCAGAAGACTCCCGCAGAATTGGCCCTCCGAGAACCATGTGGATTGATTCAATATACCATTCTAAGGTGCACGCTGAGATGCGCACGTGCGCTGTAGCGCCGACCCGCATGACGAGGGGAAGGGAGGAGGAGGAGGAGGAGGACGACGACGACGACGACGACTTGTTTTGGAATTCGAACGCTTTCTCTTCGGAACGAAGGGGTGGAAGATACACAGGACAGACCAGATGGAAAACCAGACCCGGCCAGAATCCTGGCACCCATACCAGAAATCGCGGCAGGTGGTGGGCGCGTGCGCCACACGCGCAAGCACATGCTCAGTACGCGGCTTTCTCGTGCTGCAGATTTGATAGGGAGGCAAATGCTTGTCTGAGGCGCATGTTATAGAATAGGTAGGGGCATACTTGATGATGTCTGTAAGTTGTATCGGACTGTTCCTTTTGTATGGCCGCTTCCCATACTGATGCGTGTTGCGAGCTCCTCTTGGCCAGATTTTGTACCAAGTAGGCACGGGATCGGGGGGGGGATCGGAAGGCAAGGCTCTTTTGGGACCGACCCTCTGACTTGGCGGGACAGGCCGAGCGGGGGGGGGGCTGTCCAGGTGCGACTACATGTTCGTGCTGCCGAAGGCTCGAGGGGCACAGTCAACGCGAGCAGGTGTTTTTTTTCGCGCCTGCATCGCCAGTTCCTTCCCGTCAGGGAGGGGTCCGAGGGCGGCGGCATCTTCTGCTCTCTTGCTGATGCGGTTTCCGGGCCTCTCTCTGGATACAGGTCGGGGGAGCTACGGTTGGGAATTTTGGCTCAGCGTATCGATGCGGCGGTTCTGGCCCACCACGCCTCTGCGCGACGCGGTATTCATGTCCCAGTCCCCAGGCATAGGCGCTCCGACTTTTCAAAGCCTCCCGCCCCGCGGATCGGAGCCACGCGCCATCCGCCTGCCAGGGATAGCGTGTCGCCGGGGCCGCCGCCGCGGCACGCCAAGCAAAAAATCTCCTGACTGCAGTCGTGGCCGAGGCTCGCAGGTGGCCGCCTGCGCTGGGCGCCGGAGCTTCGGATGCATTTTGTTTTGTTCCCGGCGCGCCTTCCTCCTCCTCCTCTTCTTCCTCCTCCTCCTCCTCCTCCTCCTCCTCCTTCCTCCTCCTCCCCCTCCTCCTCCTCTCTCCTCCTCCTCCTCCTCCTCCTCCTCCTCCTCCTCCTCCTCTTCCTCTTCCTCCTCCTCCTCCTCCTCCTCCTCCTCCTCCTCCTCCTCCTCCTCCCCCTCCTCCTCCTCCTCCTCTTCGGCGTTCCGTCTGGCAGCACGGTAACTGCATCAGGGCTCGAAGCAAACGGTGCCGCGGCGATTTCGTGGACCGCTTTCTTGCTGCTCTCGTTTTGCAGCAAAGTGGCCGAGCGAGGATAGACCGAGTCAGGACGAAAGCCAAACTGAAACGAAATACGTTCTTTGTCGGCGGCGAGCCCCAGGGGGAAGCGAGAAGGAGAGCAGTGTTTTGGCGTCTCCGGGGAAGGCCCGTGGTCTTCCGACCCCTCTGAGAAGGCCCGCCCCTTCTCGCTTCCCCCTGGGGCTCGCAGCCGAGCTCGGCTCGAGCCCTGAGCTCTAGGCCTCCCAGATGGGGTCGGAGGATCGCGCCGCATCGCCGATGCATCGCCGATGCGGCTCGATGCGGAGCACGATGCTCTCTAAGCCGACGTCGCCGAAGCATCGCAGGCGTCCCCGGCTCATCGCCGATGCATCGCTGATGGCGATGGGAGGAGGAGAAGGAGGAGGAGGAGGAGGAGGAGGAGAAGGAAGAGGATGAGGATGAGGATGAGGATGAGGATGAGGATGATGATGATGATGATGATGATGATGATGATGATGATGATGATGATGATGATGATGATGATGATGATGCTGATGCTGATGATGATGATGATGATGATGATGATGATGAGGAGGAGGAGGAGGAGGAGGAGGAGGAGGAGGAGGAGGAGGGCGCGATCCTCCGACCCCATCTGCTCGGACACCGGCTGGGAGGCCGCTGTCACAGACCGAGAAAGTCGTGCACTGCCCGCCTCCCCCCGGGAGGAGCAGCGGCGCGAGAAGGGCGCGGAGGAGCCGCGCAGCGCCTGGAACCCGCGGGCGTGGGCCGTGGGGCGCTGCGCCGGGCTCTACGCGCCGCCCACCCGGGACCCGAGGGCCCTGGGGGCAGTGACAGCCATCGGTCGTTGAAGGCAGGCAGTTCTGAGTCGGGCGCGTCCCTCTCCAGGAGGAGCGTTCAAAAGTAGTCAAAAAAGTAGTCAAAAGAGGTCAAAAGTAGTCAAAAGTAGCCAAACAGTTATCAAAAGTAGTCAAAAAGTGGAGGGCCCTGGGGGCAGTGACAGCCATCGCCCTGACCTTCCAGGAGGGTTAAAAAAAAACACCCGACCCAAAAACCGATGCCAAGGCTATTCTACGTCTTGGTTCGGGGGCGTATCGTGCAGTTTTTTTGCTCTTTAGGCCTCCGGTCGTTGAAGGCAGGCAGTTTGAGTCGAGCGCGTCCCTCTCCAGGAGGAGTATTCGAAACTAGTCAGCGGTCTGGGACGATTCGTTTGATCCTTCTTGGGGCTGTTTTGGAGGCATTGTTTGACTCATTTTTTATTTCCGTTCCCCCAGAATCCGCCTGTATAGGGGGACATGCCCGACCTCAAGGTATTTTTGGATTCCCAGTTCCCAGTCTATGTTATAGCCGCCTTCCTACTCCAAGAGTCGAGCGATTTTCCCTCTTCCCTCCTCTTCAGGAGGCGGGCGGGAACCCGGTCTCCTTCCAGTGCCTTTCTCTACTTCGTGGTTCGACCTACTTCTTGCGACCGATGGGTAGGTGGGGTAGGCATAGGGGGGGATGCATCGGCCCCCAGTCGCTCATTGATCGCCGATATGGGGTCCGATTGCCCCACCCAGCCACGGGACCTGCGGCTGCGCTGCTGCGGGCCCATCGCCAATCTATCGGCGATGTATCGCCTTCTCCAGGTCAATGTCTCCTCCCCTATGCCAGGCTCCCCCCTATCCCCTGACCTTCCAGAGAGCTATTTTTAGCACGGGAGGCCAAAAAACCTAAAAAGCGGAGCGAAACAGTCTAAAACCAAGACGTGGAATAGCTCTAGGATAGGTTTTTAAGTCGCGTGCTATTTTTTAGCCCTCCTGGAAGGTCAGGGTCGTTGCCCCTCAAGAGCGCGGGCACCAGCCCGGGTCCACCTCGATCCGATCGATCCAGCTCGAGGTCGTGCGGTCGGGGGGACTTTGTGGCTTGGCGAGAGTCGCGCCGCCGGTTCTGGCCCGCCGCGCTTCGGCGCGACACGCTATCGCAGGCCCAAAGGTTGACACCAACACCAAGATCGGCGGTGTGCCTCCACCGGTGGTGGTGGTCACTGCATAAGGGAAACAGAATCCCGAGCAGAGCAACACGCACCACGACCACGACGACGCCGACGACGACGACGACGGAGACGAGGCGCGCTTACGATCCGCACCGAAGCACGGATTTGGGAAAGGGCCCACCCTGCAGGTTCGGTTAAACAGCACATCGGATGAAGATCCCAATCTCGGTGATGGTGGTAATATTCTGGCTTCCAAGGTGGCCGAAATATTTTTCCACCGACACCGAAATCCAGGATCATCTTCCCCCTGTGGAGGCAAACCCTGTGTGTTGGTGTTGGTGCCCCCTTTTCCAGGCCTCCGACGCTGGCCGCGCCCCCGTCCCCAGGTGTATACCTTGGGCGATGCTTATAAGAAAACTTACGTTTTCGGCCAGAGTCTCGATGATTCTTCTTGCTTCCATGGAGAACCTAACTTTTTAGCAGAAATCTGGTTTTTTCCTCAAATTCTGAGACTTTGAATTTCTTAACCCATGATTTCTTAAGCATTTCGCAGGGTGTATGATCTTCCATCCTTTTTTGTTAGCCTGGGCCACCGGAGAGAATTTCGAGCACCAGAAAAAATGTACCGACACCCGAGGCTTGTCACGCGTCGGGCCTTGGGGAGACAACACTGCGTCGACACTCTCTCTCTCGCCACTCTCCCGGGTGCTCGAAGCTACTTCTGGGATGTGGTCTTTTGGGTACGAACACAACTTACCAGTTACCAGCCTGGAACATATTCCTATCCCTATGCTGGGCACCTCCTCATCACGATGCCAATCTTAGGGCTTCCCTTATTTTTTTTTAGGGCGCATCCCTAAGATTGTCATCGCCTTTTGGCGTGTCAATCTTAGGGATAGGGATAAGTTCGAGGCTGGTAAAGAACCCCAGACTTCCATCGGCCCGAGCCTCGCCGAGCCTCCCGCCCCGCGCCGCGGAGCGGCACGCTGCACGCTCGCGGGGCACAGCGTGTCGCAGAGGCCGCCACGGCGGCACGCGACCCGAGAGTTCCCGGACGGGTTCGGCCGGCCCGCTCCGACTCGGCTCCGACATGTCAACGAGCCGGCGCGGCCAGAAGTCAAGCAGCGGCGAAGCGTCCCGGCTCGCCTATAGCCCACCAAACAATGTTCAGGAAATGTTCTTAGAACATTGTTGGCGGAGGTTGTCTTGTTTCATCACATCGGGTTTATGTTCTAAGAACATTGTCTTTGGTCTTTGAACATTTTCGGGTTTTAAGAACATTTCGTGGTAGGACTAGGAGTGCCGGGACGGTCGGTCCCTGCTCAACAGAAGGGTTCGTTGGACAAGGTTGGTTTCGCTGGACTCGAGGTCCCGCCAGCTCGACCTCAGGCACTCCAGCACGACCTGAGGCGCCCCAGCAGCCGTCGGAATCACCCTTCTTGAACCAGACCTTCTCGCCGTCCTCGAGACGATCCGACGCGGCCCGGTGTCTGCACTGCGCTGTCGTACATCCTGGCGCAGCTGATCCGATGCTGTTTCCATTCCGTGCCGATGCAGCCCGACCCGATGCGAATTCCGATTCGATCGGGTTTGCCGATTCGAGGCTGACTGAGCCTGCCGACAGCGCAGGGGCTTCCCCCCCCAGAGGAGTGCTCGCCCAGGGGCAGTGTGATGTCCCAGACCCCCGACGACATGATGTGTGCGATCGTGGCGTTTCTGCCGCGCGTCCTTTCCCCCAGGGGCCCGCGTTCGGCCCCCTGGGCCATTCAGCAACGGATCCAAGGGCCGCACGGCTACCCCCGTGGCAAGGGGCGAGACCTCTCCAGGGATCCAGAGGGAACAGATCACATCGGAGTTGGGCGCCGCGTAATGGGGGGATCATAAATGGGGGGGTGGCGAGGGTGGTCCGAAAAGGTACCCAAACGGTACCTGAACGAGCCCCCTGGGGCTCTGGAGGGGCCCGAAAGGGGCACGAAAGGGGACCTTCTCTGACCCCCCCATTTGTGACCCCCCATTAAGCCACGCCCAACGGAGGATGTTTGAGGGTTGCAGTGTGGTCGACATTCTGTTGCACCCATCAACACCTGTGGGAAATCCGTGAGGCTCCGCGCGGCGCGCAATACTTGTCTCATCTGGTCCGCACGTCTGCCTCGTAAGGCATGGGGCGCTGTCCGCGCGGCGATGCTCCGACGCGAACCCGACGTGAATCCGATGGAAATCCGGCGGGGGCCCGTCGCAAATCCGACGCGGATCCGACGTACATCGGACCTCAAGTGGCCACGCGAGGACTCCAGGATTCACCTCATAGACTCTAGGCCTCCTAGATGGGGTCCGAGTAGATGGGGTCAGAGGATCGCGTCGCATCGCCGATGCATCCATCGCCGATGCGGCTCGATGTGGAGCCCGATTTGCTTCGCGTCGACGTCGCCGATGCCTCGCTGCTGCATCGCCGATGCATCGCCGATGCATCGCCGATGCATCGCCGATGCATCGCCGATCCTCCGACCCCATCTACGGTAGGTTCGTGTCGTGTCGACCGGCGGCGACCCCGCCGCCGGCGTTCAACGTTGAACGCCGGCGGCGGCCCAGAATCGGTCGATGTTGAACGATTGGACGTTGCGGAAACGGCCGATCGTTCAAGGTTGAACGATCCCTGCGGTGTCAAAAACCAACGCTGGGGTCGGCACGACACGAACCTGCCGTACTCGGACCCCGTTTAGGAGGCCTCTGTAAACTGACCCTTTTGGGGGGGGGGGAACTCTCCGACTCGGTCCGTGCCCAGACCCAGACATCCAGTTGCTCCTCCTCCTCCTCCTCCCCCCCCTCCTCCTCCTCCTCCTCCTCCTCCCTCCTCCTCCTCTCCTCCTCCTCCTCCTCCTCCTCCTCCTCCCCCTCCTCCCCCTCCTCCCCCCCTCCTCCTCCTCCTCCTCCTCCTCCTCCTCCTCCTCCTCCTCCTCCTCCCCCTCCCCCCCCCCCTTCCCCTCCCCCTCCCCCTCCCCCTCCCCCTCTTGCTCCCTTCTTTTTCTCGATGCGCGGGCCCCGGAGGTCTGGGGTTATGATGCTCCAGCCTACTTTAGCCTTGATCGCCAGGAAGAATTTCGAGCGCCCCAAAAAGTACCGAAATTCCAGGGAGTTCACGTGTCGGGCCCTGGGAGACACTCGCCCGACACTGTTTCGACACTCGTTTGACACTTTTCCGGGCGCTCGAAATTATTTCTGGGAGGTGGTCTCCGTAAGTAGGATGGGAACAACAGAAGTCTGGGGGCCACCTCTTCGGGGGCGGTTTCCCGAGGGTCTTTCACGCGTCGGGTCCTGGGAGACACTCGCCCGACACTGCTTCGACACTTGTTGTCGGGGGCTCGAAACTGTTTTTTTGTTGGACGTGGTCCGTGAGTACGATGGGAGCAGCAGAACCCGAGCCGACTCTTTTTTCGACGCTCCCCCGCGAGGGCCCCCCCGCGAGGGCCGAGGACGGCCAAACAGAAGTCTGGGGGCCACCTCTTCGGGGGCGGCTTCTCCCGTCCCGAGCCGGCTCTTTTGTCGACGCTCCCGAAGCCCGGCGAGGGCCCCCCCGGGGCCCCCGCGAGGGCCGAGGACGGCCAAACGCCGCCTGCCCGTGCCTCCCGCGGCAGGGACGCGGAGGCGCCGCGCCGGGCGGGGGGGCGGAGCGGCCCCGCCCGCGCCCCGCCCCCACCCCAGAGCCCCAGCAGAGGAGGAGGAGGAGCGAGGAGGAGGAGGAGGAGGAGGAGGAGGAGAGGAGGGGGAGGAGGAGGAGCGGAGGAGGAGAGGAGGAGGAGGAGGAGGAGGAGGAGGGGGAGGAGGAGGAGGAGCGAGGAGGAGGAGGAGGAGGAGGAGGAGGAGGAGGAGGAGGCCGAGCGTCGGCTCTCCGGGGACCTCCTGCGAGGACGGGCGAGACCTGCGCCGGGTGCACTGCGACGCCTGCGAGGCGGACTCGTGCCTGCTGTGCGGGCTGCTCTGGGACGCGCCGGCGGGCGGCGGCGGCGGGAGCCACCACGGCAAGTCGTGCCTGGAGCACGCCGCCAGGCCCTGCGTGGAGTCGGGCGTGTCTCTCTCGGGAGCCTTGAGACGGGGGTCAATGCAAACGGGTCAGAGCCCCGAATCATCAGGGGTAACTCGGGTCAGGACTCACTCGGGTTCGTTTTTCGAGATTCCGAACCCGAGTTACCCCGGACCCGAGTTACCCCGGATAATTAGGGCGTCCAGAGCCCCAAATCATCAGGGGTATCTCGGGTCAGGGCTAACTCGGGTTGTTTTTTCGGGAATCCAAGCCCGAATCACCCCGGACCCGAGTAACCCCGGATAGTTCGGGCGCCCAAAACGGGGGTCAGCCAGGGCGCCAGATCTTGCAGGATCCTGCGAAGACCCCCTCTGGCGGACCCGGGTTAGCGAGCCGCTCGAGGCCGCGAGGCGGCCGCGCATATTGGCTGACCCGGGTTTGCGAAGACCTGCGTTGCAGTTTTTTTTGTTCCTGCATTGCAGTTTTTGGTTGCTTGCTGACCCGGGTCTGGATTGACCCGGATCAGAAGATCCCCGACTCTCTACAGGAGGAACGTTCAAAATAGTGAAAAATTGTAAAAAGAGAGAGAGAGAGAGAGAGAGAGAGAGAGAGAAAAAAAAAAATAAAAGTCTGGGGACGATGTGTCGGCTTTCTGGCTACGTTTGAGCACTGGTGCATCACTGTTTGAGTTCTGCCCTCCAGAGTCCGCCTGGAGAAGGACATGCCCGAGCCATGCCTCGCTTGTCCGCTCGCGTGCTTGCTCTGTCGTTGTTCGCTCCAGGCCTCGGGAGCGTGCCCTCGTCGCAACAGCCGGACGCGGCTCGGAGAAGTTCTGGTGGACGTGTCCGGGAGGGATTTGCCGGGGGACGAGGCTGCTCAGGTCTTGGCCGGGAGGGGCAGATGGCTCAATGTCTGAGGCGCGTGCGTTCGAGCGGGAGGCACTCCTCCAACCACAAGCCCAACCAGCAGTGGGCAGGCGCGAAGCCGTGCCCCGGCTGCAGCGTGCGCATCATCAGGTCTATTGGCTGCAACCACATGACGTGCACGCGCTGCGGCACCCAGTGGTGCTGGGTGTGCCTCTCCGCATGGGAGCCGCGGCACTACAGCTGCAGGACAGAGCGATGGGGTCTCGAGGACAACGGATGTCACGTGCAATGAACCTGATGGACTACACGGCTCACGTTGTGCGGATTTTCTGTTGCAGGAGACGGTGATTCGTCGATTGAGTAAGCCAGCCGTGTTAGGTAGACTATATATTGTTGTATTCTTGTGTTGTTACGTAATGTTTAAGTTTGTGCACACATATCTACATGGATGCATGACACATATAAGTGTATGTCATATTCCTTATGTGGCGCGTAGCATTGCATAATGGTTGTGTAATGGTGGACAACGTCAAGGGTATTCGATCGTCGTGGACCCTTTTAAACGGAGCCTTGAAAACAGGGATCTGCAACCAGATGCGTACAGGCGGTATCAAACTTGAAAGGTGTCTCTCAACGTGTCTGGACATATTTCTGCAGTCACTGAACAAGTCCTCGCAGAGACTGAAGAATTTGGCAAACGTCCCGGGCCGATTTCGGTGGGCGGCCGGGTTCTGGGTTCTTGGTGCTCCCGGTTTTCCGTTCCAGGGCGATGTTTGGTGGGCGGTTCTGGTTCCCGGCATTGTCGGCTGGGTTCCCACGTTCCCGGTTTCGGGGTTCCCGGGTTCCCGGTTCGGTGGGCAGTTGGATTCTTGGTCTTTTGGTTCCAGATTCCGGGATCTCCGGCAGTGTCAAATTTTGGTGGGTTTCCGGTTTGCCGGTTCTTGCTTTTGGATTCTTGGCAGAGTAAGGTTTGTGGGTGTCGGACGCTTTGGTTGTGGCCAAGAGGCAGGGTCTTCTATCGTACAAATTGCAGGGGCCATAGAGTTGCGAGCAGAGCTGACCAGAGGGATTGGAGAGAGAGAGAGAGAGACAGAGACAGAGAGAGCGAGAGAGAGATATTTAGAGTACGTAGTTGCTACCATTGGTAAGTATGATATTGATCGATGGAGCTGGAAGTCAGAGTGAGAGGTTATATAGCATATATATATATAGAGAATGTACAGATCATGGAGCATAGGGCGAAGTTGGGCAGAGAGAGAGAGGGAGAAGAAGAGAAACATACAGACATAGCTAGAAACAGAGAGAGGGACAGAGAGAATGGGAAACACCGAGAGAGATAGAGAGAGAGAGAGTGAACCACTGTATATACACACGTATCTATATGTACGCACATAGACAATCATCGCTTGTATATGCATGCATATATAAGTATACGACCACCGTTCGGTGATTAGGAGGTTCGAGGGGGGAGGAAGTATCGTTTCACTCAATTGATCTTCCTATCGATATATCTAGTGATAGGCTTATCGATCCCACTATTGATCTCACTGCCGACCTCACTATCGATCCCACTATTCATATAACGATCGATCCCACTGTCAATATCACTATCGATCTCACTGTCAATCTCACCGTCGGTCTCACTATCGATCTCACTCGATCAACCTTAACATCGACTTCACAAGCGATCTCACAGTCGATCTCACTATCAATATCTGTATCAATACCACTCGATCGATCTCACGATCGATCTTGATTTCGATCTCCGAATCCATTCCATCATCGATTTCACAATCGATCTCACCATGTACCACTTTGACTTTCGATTTCACTGTCGGTCTCGTTATCGATTTGACTATCGATCTCACGTTCGATCTGATCATCGATCGCACTATCGGTCCAACCATCGATCTCGAGTCGATCTCACGATCGATCTCATTATCGATCTCACCGACGGGACACTGGCGGGACACCCCCAGCCACCGCTGGCCAAACCGGGGGGGCGGTTGTGTTTTGGCTTGGCCGGGCCCTGCCCAGAGGAGGGCTCCTTCCCTCTCGCCTGCCCACGCAGCTTCGCTTCGCCCGCGCGCATGACAACACCACGAAACTGAAACCGATTTCCCGGGGGGGGGGGCTCTCCGTCCCACTGCGATCTTTCTCCCTCACATCAGGTATCTTGATATGTAATATTCTTCACGCCTCGCGTATCCCCACCAGCCCATTCAGAAGCCCTGCCCATGAGAGCTGTCGGAAAAAGGGACGAAGAGACACATCTAGGGAAACAAAGCGAGCAACCAGGGTGAACCGAGAGATCTTTGGGAGCACGGGGGTGGCCTTGGAAGGCCTCTTCGGCCATCCCTGGGGGCCGCGTGGGGGCGAGGGGAAGAGGAGGAGGAGGAGGAGGAGGAGGAGGAGGAGGATTTCTGAATGGGCTGGGGTTCCTGGGGTCTTAAGAAAGCTCTTTGGGTGTCTTTGGATCCTCTTGGGGCTCTTTGGGGGCGTCTTAGGGCCCTGATGGGGCTCCTCTTGGAGCTCTTTTGGGGCTCTCTTGGCGTTCTCGTGGGGCCATCTTGGGAGCTATGGAGCGCCTCTTGGGGCCGTCTTGGAGACCATCGATCAAAGGAGGGGGGGTCCTCGATTTGTCTTCCCCTCCAGGGCCATCACAATCGCCTCTTGGGACCCTCTTGGGGCGCTCTTGGGGCGATCTTGGGCTCTCGTGGGGCCGTCTTGGGGGCCTCTTGGGCCCCTCTTGGAGCTTTCTTGGGCCATCTTGGGGCAATGCTGAGGCCTCAAAAGCGCATCGGAAGCGAAAAGGCGAGAAGGCAAGCATCATTGATTGTCCATCTGTTTTTGAAGGATTTTGGCTTCTCGGGGAGGTCATGAAGGGTTTCCGAAAGCACTTGGATCCGTCTTGTGGCCCTCTTGGGGCCTTCTGAAGGCATGTCGGAAGCTGTCTTGAACCATGTGTGGCTATCTTGAGCGATCTTGGAGGCCATCTTGGGCTCTCTGAGGCTCTCTTGGAGCCACATTGGGCCATCTCGGGCGCTCCAACTGCTCGCGAGCCCCCCCGTCCAGGTCCAGGGCAGGGGGCAGGGGGAGGGGTAAACCCCTCCCCGAAGGGGAAGAGGGGGTTTTGGAAGAGAAAGAATATCGTTAGACCACCAGTCGCCCAGAGGGCTGGTGGGATGTGTATATATATACATATATATATATATATATATGTGTCTGTATGTATGTATGTATGTATGTATGTATGTACGTACGTACGTACGTATGTATGTATGTATGTATGCATGCATGTATGTTTGTATGTATGTATGTATGTATGTATGTATGTATGTATGTATGTATGTATTTATGTATGTATGGATGTATGTATGTATGTATGTATGTATGTATGTATGTATGTATGTCTATGCACACATACACATACAAACATACATACCTGCATACATGCATCCATGCATACATACATGCATGCATGCATACATGCGTGTTTACATACATGCATACATGCATACATACAGACAGACAGACATACATACGCACAGACACACATTACGCACTGGGCCCGGGGCCCGGGGGCCGCGACCCCGACCGCAAATGTGTGGCCGGGGGCCCAGGCATGAGACCGCCTTTCGGCCGCACCAGATCGTCATGGAACGCCATCAGAGGGCCATGCAGGCGGCCCGCGACAGCTCGGAGCCCCCCCCAAGACGGCCTCCCGGGGTCTCTCACGGTCACCACGAGCTTGAAGACGCTTCCAGGGACGCTCAGGACAGCCCCAGAGGCCTCCAGGAGACCCTCCCGAACGTATGCGAGAAGCTCAACACCTTCAAAGTCGCAAAGAAAATCTATGATTATGGCCTTCTCGCCTTTCCGCCTCCGCTGGGCTGCTCGCGCCTCCAAGAGGCCACCAGGAGGCCCAGAGACGCCCTCAAACGATCCCAAGAGGCTCCAAGAAGCCCCAAGAAGCCCCCAAGAGGCCCCCAGGACGCTCCAAGCGGCCTCCAGTGGCTCCCAGGAGGCCTGGCAAACGCCCCCCGAGGCCTCCAATAATTCCCGATAGGTTTCCAGGACACCCCCTATAACTCCAAGAGGCCACAAGTGACTCCAAGAGGTCCGAAAAGGTCACCAGAAAGCTCCCCAGAGCTGCCCGAGAAGCCCCAAGAGAGTCCCGTGACGGCGCCAGAGCCCGATAAGGCCCCCCATAAGCCGCCCAGAGATGCTCAAGAGGCACCAAATCGTCCCAAGACGGCCCTAGACTAGCGGCGCCCAAGACGGCCCACACAGTCACAGGAGGGCCCCTGGAGGGACCCAACATGGGGAATTCCACTTGGCAGTTGGAGCCCTCCGCCTTCACAAAGCCCCCGAGACCGCCACCGGGCTCCCACGGGGTCGCCCAGGAGCTCCAACAGGCCCCCCAAAAGGCCCACAAAAGGCCCCAAGAGACCCCCATACATGCCTGAATGTTCAAGCGCATGGGTTCCTCATTGGTTTCCTCTATATGGCTTTCCCATGGGATTCCATCGTATGGTTTTTTGTAGTTAGCAAGTGTGTATTTCTGAGTGTTTCCATCGTGCTCAGTCTTTTTTTCTACTGAATAGGTTGTTTATTATTGTTTTCGACTGCACGCTTTTCTTCGGGCTTGCACGTGTCAGGATGGTCACCTGGGGGTGGAACCGCATGTGTATATCCACAAACATCATGTATACTTGCACAGATTTATACACATATATTCCCCAAACAGTGCTTGCACTTAGGGCTTCTTTGTTCTTTTTTGAGGAACGGGGCATGTGAGTCGGTCTGTCGACTATGCTGTTGCCGTCGCCACCCAGTCGCCGCCTCGTCGTCGCCTATCGTCTGGGCTTGTGCGTCGGTCTGGTAGCGATGCTATCGCCGTCACCGCCCCGTCGCCGCCTTGTCGCCGCCCATCGTGTCGGCCTCTGCGTCGGTCCGGCGGCTACGTTGTCGCCGTCGCCGCCAGGTTGCCGCCCGTCGCCGCCATTAGGTTGCACCACGTAGACTGCAAGGCGTAGGCTGCACACCCTGCATTCTCCTTTCTAGAAAGAAATTCGGATCCACCACCCCTGAGGCCAGGATTACGGTAGGTTTGCGTCGTGTCGACCATCGGCGACCCCGCCGCGGGCGTTCAAGGTTGAACGCCGCCAGTGGCCCAGAATCGGCCTATATGGAACGATCGGGCGATCGAAAAGCCGCCGATCGTTCAAGGTTGAACGATCCACGCGGTGTCAAAAACCAACGCCGAGGTCGTCACGACACGAACTTGCCGTATGCGTACCCCCTGGGGATGTGTAATTTCTATACGATTCTGCCCCATCGTGCCTTGTTAATCCGAAGTCGTTGATCCCAGCCAAAGCGGTATCGGCACCCCCGTTTCATCCTTTGCTTAAGCATGTAATGCGCGGACACCTTGTCATCTTCAATCTTTTGCATTGGCGAAATCCTTCAACAACGTCAGGTTTCGACAGGATTTCAAAAACAGAGTGTCCAGAAAACACATCAGCCAATGTGCTCGCCGCGTGCATGTTCAAGAAAGCATGCGCTCGCGATCTTGCAAACTTTTTAGAAAACCACAATTTGCTCAACATGTTCATCACATTTTACCAAACGCGCCTCTCGCAAGCACATCTCGAAATCAGTCCAAGGCATTTGCGTCTCTTGCTATTGGGGGGCACGATCCCTTTCGAATAACACCATGCTTGCCACTCGCGCGCGTCGACCGCGCGCGCATGTCGGAACCTTTCCAAAACCTTTATCACGGACGCGAGGACATCATCATCGTCATCGGCGTGATCAACATCGGCGCCGTCATTACATTTGCCGTCGTCATCGTCATCATCGTCGCCAGCATCGCTATCATCATCATTGTGTGTGTCGTTGTTGACGTCGCCATGATACCGCGCCCGCCCGAGTCACCGACTCGCACTGATGTGTTAGCGCGTCAGCGCGACCTGCGAAACGTGTTGGGGAGGTCCCAACGGTCAGCGCCACCGCGGCCGCGTCGGTCGCGCCAGACTAGCTGGCCGCTCTGCGCGCGAGATTGCGCGCGTTAGCGTAGCCGCAGCGATGCACCAGCCAGCACCAAGCAGCCATCGCGATCGCTGCGGCAGGGGTTTTGCAAACCAAGTGTCCGGGGACGTGGGTGGGATGGATGCGCGAGCATGGAAGGGGTGTTCACGCGCCGGGAAGTCGAAGTCATTACACTACATAGGTTCCACCGTATATCTTAGTTCACATATACTCTCCTTCGTTGAAAGAAATCATAGTTTACCTTCTACCCCCACCGCCGTCAAGGTTTATCCGACCCCTTTTTTTTTCCGTATTGCAATTCACATGAAATTCTGCCCCATCGTCCATACCAACTATGACTTCATACCATTCCATTCAAGCTGGTATCGACACCCTTCCTCGTCGTCTGCAAGCAAAGACGTTGCGCACACACTTGTTGATCACAACTCATACTTTTTCAAGAACACCTTACACACATTGAGACGAAATGCGCACGCGCGCGTCGCCGCGTGCATACCGAAATCCTTCAAGAACCTCAGGTGTCGTAAGGATTTTCAAAATAGAGCGCCAAGAAAAAACACCCACATACACATATACGTGTATGTGTGTATAGAAAGGCTTCGCAACAAGGATTGTCACACAAGCTTGCGCTCGCGTTCTTGTGATTTTTACGTTTTCGTTTTTTCACGACATTCTACCAAGCGGATTTCGCGCACGCGCATGTCGAATTCGTTCGAACGCCTTTGCGCGCGTGCCATGTGCAAAACATGATACGAAGTGCGCACGCGCGCGTCTTCGCGCGCGCATGGCGAAATCCTTGAAACACCGTTGGTGGCGTAAGGCTTACAAAACCAAGTGTCCCGAAACCATACAGAAAACATATGGTTTCGCAGCGACAGTTTTCAAAAAAAAACCGCGCTCGCGGTCTTGCAAATTCTCTGGAGAACCATAGGTGTTCAACCATTTGCATGGAATTCTGCCAAGCGGGCCTCTCGCGTCGCATGCCGAAATCATTCGAACGCCCTCACGCTCGTGATGGCGGGGCCCGGCCCGTGCCAAATAATACCAGGCGGGCCACATTGGCGCGTCGGCCGCCCGCGCATGCCGAACTGTTTCCGAAAATATTCGCCACCGACGCGGGGACGAGGTCATCGCCGTCGGCGTGATCAGCATCGGCGCCGTCACTGGCCGTGTTGTCGTCCTTGTCAACATCACCACCAGCATCGCTCCTACCATCGTCGTGTCTACCCTTGCCGGCGTTGCCATGATACCGCGCTCGCCCAAATTGCCGACCAGCAGTGATGTGCCCGCTGGGATGTGCCCAGCGGTCAGCGCCACCGCGGCCGCGTCGGTCGCGCCAAACTAGTTGCCCGGTGCGCGCGCGCCCATGCCCTTGCTGGCGCGGTCGCAGATATGCACCACCCAGCACCGAGCACTCATCGCAATCGCATCCGCATGGGTTTTGCAAACCAAATCGCGGGTTAGTTGGTGGGACGATTGCGCGAACAGTGTGGTTGACATTTCCAAGTTGAGCATTGGTGATTTGCGCCACTAGATTGCACCATATGGCTTGCACTGCGTAGATTCTACAATCTAGAACTCACACACCATAATGCACCACATAAGTTGCACCACAACTATTGCAGAACTGAAGTTCCGTCCCATCTATGGCAATTCATCGATTGGTCCACATATATTGTCCAGCATGAATTGTAACACGTACATTCTGCATACATCCTACACCATAGAATGTACACAACAGACTGCCCCCTATACGTGCCAGGATACTGGTTGTGCACAGCAAATTGCACAGCATAGATCGCATGCGGCAGATTGTACAACATACATGATGCACAACAGCTTGTACATAACAAATTGCACAAAGTGCACAAACATAGATGGTACCACATAGATTGCGCAACCTGTGTTGGAAAACGTGGGTATGTTCGATGCCCCATTGTATGAGGCCCACGGCTGTTAACATATGTGTATATGTATATGGGTATATAGATGCATACATACGCATAGTTAGTTGAGATGAGACTTGGGGTAATGAAGTACAGAACGAGGTTCGCGGGCATACCAAACAGGTGTGCGTAGAAGATTTACACAACCGGGACAACGATAGTGAGAGAGGTATCGAGTTAGAGAGAATGTATATATACATATATATATATATTGATAACTGAATATTTATATATGTAAATATGTATACAGAGAGGTATACAGAAGGGGAAGAGAGAGAGAGAGAGAGGGAGAGAAAACAAAAAAAAATAAACACGAACAATGGTGGGACAGACATGGAGTGCATGCGACAATTCCAGGAATTCCACAGATTGTGCTTTTCCCTGGTGCCATCATCTAGAGAGGCTACCGCTTCGGTTGGGCAATGTGTTCTTGGAGCAGTCATGTTGCGGTTTCGCAGGAAGGCCGTGGCACCCGGCTTCGGTGGCAGATGTTCTGGCAGACGTCAATGGTTTCCTTTTGTTTTCGTGCACGTGGCACCAGTCAGTTTGAGTTTGAGTCCAAATCAAAGGGCAAGTCGGAACTTAATTCGGGAGGGGGCCCAGGAGGGGTTTGTGACATGTTTCTGTTGGGGGGAGCCGCTGCAATCCAGGGGAGGCTAGTTGTTGAGGATCTGGCGCAATTCCCTTTGCACCACGAGTGTTCTCATCAGCTGTCGCAGCCATTCTTGGGCATGGGACCAGAGGCGATGAGAAACAACAGCAAGCATGAACGAGCGTATTCAGGAACAAACTTGCAACACATTGTGACCCGGCTGGTGTAAACAAGTAGCACACATGCGTTTTAGTGTTATTCACGGCGGGCCCAGCAACACGATTCAAACATTGTGCAGACAAAGACTGGACAAATACAGAAGCGGATTGCGCACAGCTAGCATCAGGGTATTGCTGAAACAAGCTAGGATTCAGCTCCAGCAAAAACGCGGCCGCGCCAGAGCGATGCCATCAGTAAGACCTTGCAATTCAAGACCTAGTGTGAGCAGCCTCAGGTTGACTCTAAGTCGCAGCGGGCACGAAGCTAAGCTAGAGCTGAAACCGCACCCACAGCTAAAGAGGACACACATAGAGAAGTATGTATTGCTAGAGTATGCCAACTGGCGCTGGAATGTGTAAACATGTAGAACTCCATTTAAATCATTGCAAAGCTCGACTTTGCGACGACACTAGGCTAAAAGGTGATCCATAAATTTCGGGGGTTGCAGATTGCAGGGTTGACAAGTCGACGCAGGAGGTCGCTTGCGAATCTCACGTGTCTTTAATTATGTACAGCAGCGCTGATCTCCAGCATTCGCATCTCGAGAATTATGTGGCCCGTTCTTCCCGATGGGGAATACGCGAGTCTGCGAAGGCAGGCTGATTCTGTCGACAGAAGCCAGCTGGCACTTTTTATACATCCTTGGTGCTCACCTTTGGCGCCGCCCTGCCGTGCCAAAGTATGTTCAGACTGAGCCCATCAAGCTCGGCCGGGCAAGCATCACTGTCGCCAGCATCGCGTCTCTCATCAGTGTCGCCATCGTTGTCGAAGCGTTCGGACCTGTGGAGGCCAACACCCGGCAGGGTTCTGCTCTAATTAGCGAGCGGTGGTGCCTCGCAAACAGGCGAGGCAAGGGCAAACTCAGCATTCGCCGGACTAGTGCGAGAACGCTAGCGATCCCGAACGAAGGAGGCGAGACCAGGCGAGGAAAACACCTCCCGACGGGAAGACCACACGTGATCTCCGAATCGGCACCGCCGCCGTACAAGTACCCGGTGCACTACTCGAAATCGTATTGTAAAGAAGGTCTTACCAGACAGGGCTGGACCTAAACGGTGTTTTTGATGATTTCGTGGGCCGTTTTCGTTTCGATCTCGTTTTGCGGCAGAGGCGGACTCGAGACAAAAGCGAGGGAAAACGAAAACAAAACGAAAACGAAAAACAGCGTTCAGGTTCAGCCCTGTTACCAGAGTCACTTTTCGTGTGGTCCAGGCAGCGGGGTCCTGTGTGTCGGGCCGGGCGAAAGGGGGGGATTGGGAAAGGGGGGGGTACGAAATTTGCTGCATGCAGCTGGTTTCGGCCTCACCGAGGGGCCCATTCCTCGATACATGGCCGCCTGAGGCGCCGGGAAAATCAGCTACGTGAGCTGATTCTCAACCCCCCCCTTTGCTATCCCCCCCTTTCGCCCGACTCGAGTGTGGCCCGATCGATCCGATCCGAGGCCACTTCTAGCTTGCCCGATCCAACTCGACCTCGATGCTCCGTCGATCCGAGGCGGCCCGACGGCTGCGTGGCGCTGTTGGGCATCTCGGCGCGGCCGATCCGGCTCGAGTCCGACTCCGTGCCGATGCGGTCCGATTCGATTCGCATTCCGAGTCGATCGGACTGTGAAGGCCTTGCGGCCGGTGCAGCTGACCCTGAAGACGAGGACGACGGGGGGGACGACGAGGAGGAGGAGGAGGAGGAGGAGGGGAGGGAGGGGGAGGAGAAGGCGGAGGACGCGGTGAAGCAGCAGGAGGAGGAGGAGGAGGAGGAGGAGGAGGCTGCTGCTGCTGCGGAGGAGGAGGAGGAGGAGGCTGCGGAGGAGGATGAAGAGGGGGAACAGGGGCAGGGGGAAAACGGGGGGGGGGATGAGCAGTAGGAGGACAAGGATAATGGTAGTCGGAGGAGCAGAAGAAGAAGGAGGACGCGGAGAAGGGGGATGAGGAGGGGCAGGAGGAGGAGAAGGAGGATGTTGAGGAGGAGGAGGAGGAGGGAGGAGGAGGGGGAGAAGGAGGATGTTGAGGAGGAGGAGGAGAAGGAGGAGGAAGAGGAGGAGGAAGAGGAGGAGGAGGGGGAGCAGGGGCAGGGGGAAACGGGGGAGGGAATGAGCAGTAGGAGGACAAGGATAATGGTAGTCGGAGGAGCAGAAGAAGTAGGAGACGAGGGAGAAGGGGAGAGGAGGAGGAGGGGAGGAGGAGGAGGAGGAGGAGGAGGAGGAGGAGGAGGAGGAGGAGAGGAGGGGCAGGAGGAGGATGAGGAGGAGGAGGTGGAGGAGGATGAGGAAGAAGAAGAGGTCGATGTAAGGTTGGGGAGCACCGGGGGAAGAGCACGCGGGGAGAGGGGGGAAGCATGATGATGAGGATGATCAGGAGCATGAGGACGGTGAGGAGGAGGATGCGAAGGAGGGGGGATTCAGAGAAGTGAAAGGGTGATGAGGAGGAGGAGGATTAGGAGGAGGAGGAGGATGAGGAGGAGGAGGAGGAGGAGGAAGAGCAGCAGGATGCATAGGAGGAGGAGGAGGAGGAGGAGGAGGAAGAGGATGAGGATGAGGAGAAGGAGGAGGAGGAGGAGGAGGAGGAGGAGGAGGAGGAGCAGGAGCAGGAGCAGGAGTGGGAGGAGGATGAAGAGCATGCGGAGGACGATGAGGAGGGGGGGGTGGGGCAGGATGATGTCGAGGAGTGTAATGAGCGGGTGGAGGACGATGAAGACGAGGCGAAGGAACAGGAAGAGGTGGAAGGTGAGAAGCAGGGGGAGGAGGGGATGATTGTCGGGGTTCTTCGGAGCGCTTTCGGGAGCCTCTGGTGTGCAGTTTGGAGGCGTTTTGGAAGACTTTGGGGGGGCCTCTTGGGAGCCTCTTGGGGGCCTCTAGGGGCGTCCTGGGGGCTTCTGGGGGCGTCTTGGAGGCTTCTTGGGGCCTCCTGAGAGCTTCACGGGGACGAGGACTCGAGATGTCCGTTCGGATCCCCCGTCTGGGCACCCTCTTAGATTGTCTTTGATGCTCTTGGCCTGTCTTGGAGGCGTCTCGGGCCGTCTTGGGCCCTTCTTGGGCCAGATTGGTTTTGGGGCGATCTTGGGGGCCTTTTGGCACATCTTGGAGCGTCGGGAAGCTGAAGAGGTGAGAGATCGCCCAAATCTTTCAAACACCTACAGAAATTGATACATATTTTCCTCTTGGGGCCTTCTTGGGAGTGCTTCTGGAGGCCTCTTGGGGCGTCTTGCAGGCTTCCTGGGCCGCCTGGAGGCCGTTAGGGCGTCTTGGACAGGTCGTTCGGCGATTCGGGGCCCTGTTGGACCGTCTTTGGGGCCTCTTCGGGCACTCTTGGCCCGTCTTGGAGCTTCCTTGGGGCTGGGGACCCCCAGAGGGGGAGTCGCATCCGAGTGGCGACCCCGCCCGGAACCACCCACGCGGGGCCCCCCCCCCAGGGACACCCCCTCGACGGGGGAGGGATCAAAGAGAGGGGGTTTCCCTTCGACGTCGCTCCATTTCGCTCTGGCTGGCGAGCTTCAGGAGGAGGGCCCAAGGGGGGAGCGGCGTCGGGCCCAGGGAAATGGGGGCCGCAGGGAAGGGGGACGACAGACTACGACTAACGAGTGATGGAGCCGACAGCCCGAGCGGACAAGCCCCTCACACGCGTCGACTGGGTCGGCGGATGTTCTGATTTGATGTGGACTGATGCTGGACAGCGGTTTCCAGGGGGCCTCTGAGACATGCCCAGACTGCCAGCTGCTCCAACTTTTCCGATGCGTGGGCCCCAGAGGTGCGGACCACTTCTCTAGGGCCGGCGTTTCGTCCTGCGTTGTTGTTCGACGGCTCCAGAGCCCGGCGAGGGCACCCAGAGGCCGAACGTGGCCCAAAACCGCTTGCTCCAATGTTTGTTGGAGCTTCGGGTCTCAGGGGAGGTGTTTTCGGGGAGCTGCCGCTGACGCAGCAGCCGCCGCGGGCTCGCCGGCGGGGCTGGCCGCGCCGCTCGCTCGGGGAGCGATCCGTCCCCCCCCCCCTGAGCCGCTCGCTCCGTCCGCCCCTCTTTCGGCCCCCGCCCTCCCCCCGCTCCTCCTCTTGCATGGTGGCACGACTCGCCCTGACGGCAGCCCCGCTCAGGCATCCCCATCGCTAGCGCAGACGTCCCCTGCCCAGCCGCCGACGCTGAAGAGTGTCTCGGGGGGAGCTTTCCCCAGCGGGAGGCCGTCCCGCGAGGTCCCGCCCGCGGCCCAGACGACCGGCGTGCGAGGTCGCACGCGTCCCCGCGGCCCCGCTGGCTCCTGTGGCCACTCTGTGCCACCCGGCTCCCCGCACGGCCCCGAGGGGCACATTCAGCCCGAGCAGCGTGAAGGCAGCGTTCAGCTCGGCGCTGCACTCCGGTTCTCACGGAAGCGGCGAGAGAGGGGGGGGGGGGAAGTGAGAAGGAGAAGGCCTCCTCAGAAGGCTGCGGGGCTTCTCGGAAGCCCTCGTGCCTCTGAGAAGGTGTTCTTGTCTTCGGGAAAGACTCAGGCAACTGTTCAGAAGGCCAGGGGACTTCCGAGCCTTCCGAGGAGGCCTTCTCCTTCTCACTTCCCCCCCTCGCTCGCCGCCAAAAAGGATCCCCCATTTAGGGAATCGGCTGGTATTGGAACGAAGCAGGAAGGATGCGAAGGGCCGCTTGCAGAGGCTGAGGGATGGCCCGCACGAGTTAACAAGTGCATGCCATATTTTGGAGTCGCCATTTCGAAGGGAACCCACATCCTCGAAGTCCAGTGTCGGCGCCCAGACCCGACACGCTCTATGGCCACTGCAGGTAAATGCAGTGCGAAACAGTTCAAGGCAACACAGGGCAACACAAGGCGACACATGCATCACTATTCATATCCAATCAGAAGGAGAGCAGTGCAGTGCGATGCACTGGATTGCAAAGCAGATCATTACAAGCCAGGCAACGTTGTAAGATGTGGCAGCTGGCATGGTAGTGAATGTTCTCGTTGAGATGTTGCGTGATTGCTACTCATGGCATGTTGCACTCTGTCCCCGGCTGGGGGTCGCGCCAGAACCATGTCTCGAAATCTTGCGTCGTGCATTTGCCTCGACGTGTGTGCACTGCGAGACTCCGACATCCATTGTCGGCAACTCCCTTTCCTCCTGGGCGGGGCACGGTCGGATGCCTCGCCGTTGCCACAAGAGAGTGCCCGGCACCCCCGCACCCGCAGGAGTGCGACCGGCTCTTGAGGGCCGCCAGGGGCTCAGAGGCACTGCTGGCTGATCGGGGGGGGCGGCCAGGCCCGCCCGGAAGCCTCGAGATCTTCGATGCTCCATGGGGGGATGGCGTTCGTCTGCACGAGCTCTGCACGATGCCCCACCCCGCCCGCGCGGGCGTCTCTCCTCGCCCTCGTGCTCCTCCTTCTCCTTCGTCCTCCCGTCTTGCCCCTGGCGCCCCCCCCCCCCCCCCCCCCCCCCACCCACCTCCTGACCATCCCTGATGGGCCTGTCTTCCACCACCACCACCACCACAAGTTGAAGGGGGGAAGGAGGAGGAGGAGGCGGAGGAGAAGGAAAAGGAGGAGGAGGAGGAGGAGGAGCAGGACCCCCTCCCCCTCCAACTTCTGGTGGTGGTGGTGGTGGTGGTGGTGGTGGTGGTGGTGGTGGTGGTGGTGGTGGTGTGGTGGTGGTGGTGGTGGTGGTGGTGGAAAACATTGGGAAACAAAAGTGATATAAACATAAAAACTCGGAGGTCCGCGCGGATTTCTCGGATCGGCGCTGGAAGCCCCCTCCCTGGCGCGCGGAGCGCGCCAGGGGCGGCCGCGGAGGCGCCGCCGGGGGGCCCTAGCGCCGATCCGAGAAGTCCGCACGGACCTCCGAGTTTTTATGTTTATGTCATTTTTTGTTCCCCGAAAACAAGCCCATCAATCCTCCTCCTGCCGCCGCACGGCGCCTCCGCGCGGTCCCAGGTCCGCGCGGCCGCCCGCGGCGCGCCTGGC